TACTGAGACAGCAGGCATTAACCAGAACCAAACCATGCAAATGGCCATGTGTGGTCACTGATCTTAGAAAACCTTTGCCTACTGCTTGCCAGCACCTAGATAATAGATCTTTCTTTGTGAGAGGCATATAAATTAGTCCTAAATATATAGGGCTTATGGAACATTTTCTTTCTAACTGAACATATGGAGACATTACTGTTCATCACATTCAAAGGTATTAATCATTTTTTCGTGTGATGAATAAACTATTAATATACTCAAGAAATATTTATATAGTGATACTGTGTAATATGATATTGAAGAGAAGGGATTTAAGTTTGCACATTTGATTTTTAAATTCAGTTATGTAAAATCCCCAAACCCAAACATGATAGCTTCAATATGAAATTATAAGCAGAAAAAGCTCAGTTATTATTTTGCATTGATTCATACAGTTATTGAGCAAACCATGACCACCAACTATGTATTAGGCCTGTGCTTGAGTATATAATGTGAGTGGCAAACAGATAGTGTCCCCACCCTCATGGATATTGTAGTCTAGCAGGAAAGAGAAACAATCAAAATATTACACCAATTAATATAAAATTATATATATCTTACTTGGTCCAAAGGGGAGGTACCTGACACTATGACTAATTGGTGAGCTAATCTAGCCACAAGCTTGTGAGAGAAGAGTGGGACAGAAATTCTTCCTTCAGGAAGCAAACTGTTCATCTGGATGAGGGGATGTGCTGGGGCAGAGGTGAAGCAAGGAGCTGCTGAGCCTGGAGATGAGCAGAACCAAGCCATCTAAGGCCTTAAAGGTCATGGGAAAGATTTTGGTCTTTATCCTAAAGGCAATGGGAGGTGACTGAAGAGGTTGATTCAGTGGAGTCAAATACTGAGATTCATATTTTAAAAAGCCAACTCTGACCACTGCAGCATGGAAAATAGATTGTAAGCAGGGGTAATGTGATGAGCTCTTTCAAGAATGATGTTTCTCTAAATTAAAGGTTTTCTAAGATATTGTGCTTAAGACCAAGATATTGTGCCAAAGTAATTCATACAAAACACTTTCTCTGAATTCATTTTAATTTTTCACCCATAAGTTATGTCCCTTACTCTAAACCTTGAGTCTATAAGAATTAAGGTGAAAAACTTTCATAAATCTAAAGGGATATTTTAAAATAACCTATTACCAATTCTGAAGGTTACAGTCCCATGCAAATGTATTTGTCTATAAAACTTAGGAGAATTATTTATAATAATAATGGAAAAACTCTTGAAGGTCTTATATTTATATTGCAATTTTTATTTTTAAAAATTCTTTCACATTTTTAATTTTATGTTATCCATAGAAGGAATATCCTATATACTATATAATAATTCTGCAATTGGAAATGCAACATGAATCACTTTTATAAAGTATCATAAAGATGGAAGATTCGATTGATGTGCCTTGTCTATTTCCAATCAACTTCACTTTCTGATGATATTTCAATGCAAAAATGGAATGTAAGCTTGTTCTACTAATAGGTTAACATAGATCTCAAGGCTTCTAGTATTCTGTTTTTATTCATATTCATAATTAAAATACATCCTTAGAGTTATGTTAATTTTACTTCCAAACATAGTGTCATATGGATTTGGATTATTAGAAAAGTTCTTTTTAATAAACATTTTTTTATTTACTTAATAAATTAGTACTTTGTTTCACTAGATAATATATTAGCGATGCAAACAGCTAATGCAATGAATGAACCTAATTATAGGAAAACCCAACTGGAATTCTTCCCTACTTTTCTGCCGATCTAACTGTTACATGAAGGAGGCAGATTTAAAAATATATAAAACATAAAATGAAATCGTCCAAGGTATGTCCAAAGAATATTCTCAAGTCAGAATAGACTTTCCCCATTGTAATGTTTATGTGCACTGGTAATAATAATAAATAAAAATTTATTTTCATGATTTATTTAATGAAAGATTGAGTCTCTGGTATAAGTCTTTCCACCAGACACTAGAGATACAGAGATGAAAAGATACACTTTAGCCTCAGGAGCTTGTAGCCTAGCTGCCATTTATTGAGTACTCAATTGGTGCCAAACACTCTTCTAAGCACTTGTGTTTAAGCCCCGTGTCAGCTTTATGGGGTAGTACTATTGCTATTAAGGTCATGGTACAGATTGGAAAGCTGAAGCTCAAAAGGATTAGGTAACTTTCCCAAGGCCTTACAGCTAGTGAGCAGTGGAGCTGGGACCTGAAGCTGAGGAAGTCAGCTTCCGAGCTAGTGTTTTTATGGGCACAATGCTTCCCCATCATGATCCTGAAAGTCTGAACAAACCTAAGTCAACAACCAATACCCAATGTATGTTCATGATAACAAAGTCATTAAGCAGGAGAGGAAGCTGCATTTTTTTCAAAGCTGTTAAAGAGGGTGACAGTTAAGGATTTCCTGGGATAATTACCGAATAGTTAATTACAACAATTCATCGTGCCCTAAAGCATTCATAGTAATGGATATTCTCCAAATGTGTGTGTGTGTGTGTGTGTAAGTTTGTGGGGTGTATTATATGAAATGAGAAACTTTGTTATTTAAAAAAGAGTAATTAATGATCAGTAGATTAAGCCAATCAATTTAAAGAACATGAAAAATTAAACTGAGGGGACAGGATGAGTTTGGTAGTCACAGGTAGATAAATCACCACTGCAGAAGGGAGTCACTACATCTCACCCTGAGTACATAGATTAATGAAGTATTGGGACTCAGTCTCTTTCCTTACGGTAGCTTATGTGACAGCAAGGAGTGTGTCTTACTCATTTCTTATCTCCACAAAGTCTAGTAGAGTGCTGCACACATAATAGATTCTTGGTAAATGCTTGTCTATTAAATGACTCTTTTTTGAATAAGACAATGGCAATAGAGTATAAAAAGAGAAAGCTAATCTTCAGTACTTTTCTCTATGAACAGATAGTTTCTAGACCTCTAGGTAAATGTTACTGAGCTTTACCTCAGAACAATAGAAAGCAAAATTTTTGTTGAGTTAATCTATATTCTAATAAATGATTTAGAATTTTCATTTTGTCATATATGAGAGTTGTGGAATGTTTCAGCTGAGTAACAAACATTTCTCCCATAGTATGCCGTAAAAGTCTAATGGGGTTGTGAACAATATATTTGTGAAGCTGAATGTGATCTCCCATTAATTTCTGATTTTATTCCTTTCCATTGTGATACTTTAAAGAAAATTAATAAACCCATTTCAACTGAATGTGGAGAATTTTTTTTTAAGAACTCAAACTCAGTTTTTATTATATGTTTTTATTTTTTTCCAGGATTAGTAGATAATTCAGGACTGAGATTATTTCATACGACTGATATTAGGAAATACGATGCTGGGGTGATCGAGGCTGGCCTCTGGGTAAGCCTCTTCCATACCATACCTCCCGGGATGCCTGAGTTCCGATCTGAGGGTCATTGCACCCTGGAATGCCTAGAAGAGGTAGGTGGCTTCTGAGGCTATGAGTTGCTATTTACAGATAAAATGATGTTCTTAGAAAACTATGCTGTAAAAAACATCATGCTTGCTGATTTTTAGTCCCTTTCTAGTCAGCACACTGTGAAACTGTTAACATTGTAGCAGGCTGTAGTTGTGTGCTGTCATGTCAATTCCCATTCGTGGTCACCCTATGAGACAGTAGACTTGCCCTATAGGATTTACAGGAGCAGATTGCTAGGTCTTTTTTCTCTGAGAGAGACTGGTGGGTTTGAACCTCTGATCTTTGGTTAACATTCTCAGTGCTTAACCATTGTGCCACTAGGGAGTGGAATGCTGAGAAGCATAATTTACAGGGCATTTTTCTTCTTATTCCTTTCTCCTTGGTTATTTCATATCAGACATTTTACCTTTTACAATTTCCACGTTTGTGTTGTCTCCTTTTTAATTTTACCTATTATTCATACTCATTTTTCCCATCATTCATTTTAATGTATTTTTCATTTTTTACTCTGCTTTGCAATTTTTTTCTTTTCTTTAAACATAAAGAAAGATAGGTAATAAAAAAATATAAATTGGATAAAAGTAAACTATATATAAGTATGTAATAATCATTACTTCTATGCGTAGTTCTTTTTTCAAGAATATATGTCAGTATGGAGAGTTCTGGTAAGATGGAGGAATAGGCAGAAAAGTGACACAGACCCTCTTCAACAAAGAAAAGAAAAACCAATTGACAGAGATACAGAAGCGAATCCTGGAGCCCTGAGCTTTGAACGGAACTATACAGAAGTGGATTAGGCACCAACAAGTGGAAAAACCTGAACAAAAACAGTGAGTACAGAGATGGTCAGAGCTACAGACTCTCAGCTACTCTGATGAGACCAACAGCCTGAATACTTCCAAGTGGTGTTGGGACCTGAGAATTGACCTAAGCATCAGCTCTGGTAACCAAGGGCTGTAGGGGTGACTGCTCTGGTGGCCTATGACTAGGAAGGGAAACAGCAAGAAGGGAGACAACCTGAACTGTTGACATTCCGCTGTCCGGAGGGTGCAGCAATTTTGATTGTTTACATGTGGCAGCCATTTTGGATATTTAAAGTGACCAAGGGCGCAGCCATTTTGAATGTTAATAAGCAGTGGCCTTTTTGGATATTTAAAGTGATCGAGGGTGCATCCATTTGGAATGTTTACAAGTGGCAACCATTTTGAATTTTAAAGTTATAGTATTCTCATTCAGATTCCAGGGACCTAAGAATAGGCTCTGTTTGCCAAGGTCGGCAGGGACATACGAGAGGCTGACAATAGGAAAGGAGACAGGTGGTGAGTGTATAAGTGCTGTCAGCTAGTGAAGAGAGGAGCACAGCACACTACCCTGCTTGCATAGATAACATGCAAAGAAAACAAAAATC